AATTAACAACACTACCTTTTACAGTATACATTTTGCATTTCTTGCAGTTGAGTTGTCAAAACTTCGCTGTATTCATTGTACACACGACTCTTTTGTTTTATGAGACAATTTTCTTGATGATTTTGACTCATTATGGAACTTTCAAACCTTAAAAAGATTTTCAGCAAATCGATGAAAATCATAAGAACCAGTTGTTAATAGTCAGTTGTCCTTATTACACTTCTATAAAATGGTTTAGAGTAGAGATCAAGAATTTGATGACCCCCTCTACACTCAGAGTGGGACTTAGCTATAGCTCATTGGTCAAGTAAAGTACACCCCAATGTACTTCAAAGAATCTGTGTATAAAATTTTTAACGCGTAGATTTGTGAGAAATTCATTATTTTGCAATTTCAAGTACATGTATATACCCGTGGTAATTTTATCACCTCGCAATGAAGTTAGAGTGGAAATACAAGTTGTAATGCGCTTGTGTGTGGGGTGTCTTTTGTGCGTAACGGAAGTGACGTAATTTACATCGGGATCGATGTCGAATGCTGCCTTGATTTATGCATGTAGAGTTGCTATTTCCGCTTTGCACTGCCCTGTTTTTAGCTGCTGAACTGTATAGTGTTTTGGTTTTATTAGTCTTTGACCATATAAGTAAAAGACTATAAATATATAAAAGCATAACTCTCCAGGTCTGCAACTACCCTTGCTTCTTAAAGATTCGACTACGAATGAAAAGAAGAAAATCCTTTTCCTCAGTGGCGAATTTGACAGGTAATTCTCTCTGTGAAGAAATACGATGAAGATTTTAACACTGGGAAAAAATGAAGATTTATAACAACATCAAAATTATGTTAAAAATTGATAAACTTCTTTGTACTTTCAAAAAAAAATGTAACGATTAAAACGACTAAATTTCAATTATAATTTAGAGTAAAATATTTATTACGCGGACATAACCTAAAATGAGGAAGGATTATCTTTATGAGAGGGGTATATCTAAGAAATTCAATGATATTGACCTTCAAAACAATCTTGGCAAGGTATTAGAGGGTCCCTTGTCTGGGCTGGTTGGCTTTCACCTTCTTCTCAAATTACGAATCAATCTTAATATGATTTTGACTGTGATTAAAGTAAACAAACTGTTTAATGACAAATTAACTTGGGTGTTTGTTTTATGCCAATCTCTTAAGATTCTTGTCAGACATTAAGGTTCGATATCGTCCGATTTATCATGGCTACAGATCCGCCGCGTAAACACATGTTTGTTAGTTCCACAAATTGTTTAAAGAAAGCTTGCCTTTCACGACACCCTTTTCAAACTGTGGTAACAAAATAATATTTGTGTCTTTGATAATATTTTGTGCAAACAAAAACGGTGGTGTTTTCGATACCGGCTATTTAATTACATCACTTAATTTTTTAAAAAAATGCATGGAAAACCCGAGTTTTGGCTGAACAAGAGCGTTTCGCTCATATATTTTGAACATAAGAAGTTTTCAATCATGACACATTCCCAGTTTTTTGGAGTCATGGTGCGGCAAAGTGTTTTAAAGGTTTGAGACAATATTAAAATTTATAAATTTTCATTTAAAAGGAAAAACTTTGGTTCCACAAAATTACATCAGTTTTGAAGTTTAAATCTAAAAAGCCTCGAATTTGAAATAAATTGAATGTGAGTCTTTATTCATACTAAGGTTACAGGATGTGAATGGCGCGATGCATTATAAATGGATATATTTTTTTTTTGTTTTCCATCTCATAAATAAAAAAAAAAAGATAACGATATTGATTTTATAATTTCCATTGTCCTCAAAAGTTATTTTAGTAAAAGGTTCTGTGGTTGTCCAAACATGTTCTGCATTAGCAATGGTACTTGTATATATTGAAACTTTTACTACAGGATGATTTCTTATACTAGAAAAATAATTGCATAAATTACAGTAATCATGATATGGATTGTAGTGTGGAGAATTTGATTATTTAAAGCATTTATTTAATAAGTTATATTTTTTCAAGAAAAAGAAAAAATGTTTGTCAGCCGCCGGATTGTTCCGTGCCGGAACCCGGGATTGAACCGGGGGCCTTTAGATCTTCAGTCTAACGCTCTCCCAACTGAGCTATTCCGGCTGACAAGTATTACGAATTTTAAATTTCGTTTAATCAATTGGCATTGATTTGAATCGTCAGTCTACTTAAAAAAAAAAAGCAGATGGGATATCCCCCTAAGAAATAGGTATTTCACATTTAGGAAAAGAATTTACCATTTTAATTTTCATGCCCAATCATAGAAAATTTTTATAGTTTTACATTTCGCACAATCAAAAAATCCTATACTAGAAATAAATTTCCCATGCTGGTCTCTTTTCCCTACTCTCCTTTTCAACAGAAATTAGGTGGAAAGCAGTGTTTTGCTCAACGGTGAACCCCACCTGAAAAATCACTACCCCCCCCCCCCCCCCCCAGCAAGTGTACGCACATGCCTCTGACTAGCCTATCCAGCGACAAATGGTGGAAAGGGAAACACTTCAAAGATGTCCTAGAACGTCAGAGGTTAAATTTCGTCTCATTTGCAATTTCTAGTTTTTCATCATTTAAATTTCTATCCATTACTTTGTATCCGACACAAAGGAGATAAGATACATGTACAGTGTTGTAGGTTTCCTAGGGTTTTTTTTATGCGAACTATTATGTTTTTTTTACACCGATAACATAATTATAAATTGATAAAATCTAAAAGATTTTATTGTTTTATTTCATTCTAAAAGTATATATATATATCGGGTACAGAACAATTAATTTAGTTACAAAATTTAAACAATCAATGACTAAAAAGGAATTATTTAGAGCAGTTAAGTGGCTGAAAATAACTCCAAACTAAAGTTTTAAGACACATGAAATTGAAAAAAAAAATCAACATATTACAACAATCATTTTGATCTTTTGAAATCTCAACAAACAACAATTTTTTTTAACTTCTGAAATCTTCGAATATAAGAATAGGTTTGAGCAAAAAAAAAAAAAAAAAAAAAAAAAAAATCAGTAAAACGCGATCATTTTTCTCTCTAACTATAATCGGTCAAAACTTTTTTTTGTTTGTAGCATTTTGTACCGTTATATGGCCTTCTTAATATGTGAACATGATAAAAGTTTTAATAAACTAAGCACATAAAAATAATTAATATTCTCTAACAGTGTATTAAATAGAGGAAAATTTGGTTTTCCATTAATTATATATTTTACTTTTATCACAACATATTTATCTTAATTTGGTTGTAGCATTTGTTTGACCATATTTGATATTGTCTTTGTAGGCAAATAGAAAAAAAATCTTTTCGAAGAGAGTATCGTCTGGCAACTGTATTTTTAAAATTCTTATTGTCAAATATAAAAGGGTCAAATTTTATCTGTGGGATAAAAAACCACGTTTTGGTTTTGGGGCAAAGTGGCTTAGCATCAATATACATATTTTCTTTCACCTATAAATGAATATTAGAGTAAGAAATGTGAAGATGACGTCATAAATGACAGAAAAAAAAATTCAACGTCAAAAGGCTTAATATCAATTTTTATCCTATATATATACTATATACCCAAATTGTTTTGGTACGTGTATATTGTACATAAGCTTGTGCATTTGAGTTTCATAACACTATATACGAAATTTAATCAATAATTGTATACATGAAATTATGTATTGACAGATTTAAAAAAATCTATAGTATAGTTTGTACTTGAGTGTGTTCATGCAAATTCTTTACCTCTGCATGTAGAACTCTTTGTAGCAGCTCTTACATAAGTTTGAAAGTTTATGTGTAAATTAATATATTACATTCAATTAATGTCAATGAATGGCACAAAAAAAAAAACCTGACTTCCCGAGTGCGGATATTCTAATACATGTTCAACTATATTACTAGTAATTTATCTACAATGAATAAGACCTAGCAACTCGATCATTATGATTTTATTTCATATACTGCACATATATCTGCTATTTTTAAAAATCAATTATGAGACTTGTTTTTATTGGATAATACACATGTATATCAAAAACATATTTAAAACAACTGTTTATATTATGATTTTTATGTTGACATTGATGCGAGTGAAATAAATTCTTTATACAGATAAAAAAAATAATAAATATACAATTATTATACTCGTTTATTCAACTGCCTTTTGTAATATTTAAAAAAATTCCATACTTTTTTTTTTTAATAAAAAGAAATATATACATATATTTCATCCGGAAAATATGAGTTTAATATGAAATATAATATTTACGAAAAGTGATGGATTCAGATGCTCTGCGTGTTCTATAAAAACAGTTACAGAATGATAGAGAAAATATGCACTTTATATCCTAGAAGTTAGAAAACAGATCCTGCCATGTTCCTTTTTACTCTGATATTTTCCCCCAGTATCATATAAATGATAAGACTGGATTTCACGCGCAATGCCAACTTTTTTATCTGCTAAAACTCGCGAAATCAACGGTCAGGCACTGCGCTCTGAAACGACACACCCTCGGAGATGTTGGTATTTTGGAGAATTCGTGGTTCGATGATTAGATAAGAGCTATATATGAAAGTCTTTCATGTTTATATCTCTCAGCTTTATCTATTGTTTTCCCCTAGTCTCTGCAGGGTATAAACATGTACCCGTTATCTCTTTAATCTAATTAAATATTTGACAACAATGGCACGCATTGTGATTTGGTTGCCTAACTCTATGGAATATGCACTATAAAGTTTTTTTGTTTAATTTTTCATACCACCAAATATTTACTGTGGTATATTAATCGATAAATGAAAATGTAATTTTTCATTCATGCATCACAAATGTTGTAGTTTATCTCGTGGGGCGTGTTTGTTTTCATTGTCGTAGTTTTCTATGAAAGGCGGTACCCTTCTATTGACAGGTGCTCTTAACGTCAGAAAACTGATTACCGTTGCCAGGACGACATCGTCTTAACCAATCGATCGAAGCAGTTCTATGTCAATCAATGACACTTCGCGCTTTAGCGAGGCGCGGGAATTGCCCACCCACAATGGTTCTATAGTAGATCTTTGAGCTATTCCCACGTGCAGAAGTTTCTCTTTACTGTGTAGTGTAGTTAGCAGTAGTGTACGTTAGACAACATGAAGATGGACCCTACAAATCCTCAATCCCCTTCTAACGGGTCGCTGGACGGAGATGTCCCTAACGATCCTGGGTGAGAAACACATGTCATTTTCAGCTGATCTTTGTGTTCGTTCAGTGCCGCGCTGTTTCGGAAATTTTCTGTTTCTTTACGAGTTATCTAGGTCACTCATCATGGCTTTCATTTTAACATTTCTTTCTTGGTTTTTACAGAAAAATGTTTATTGGGGGACTAAGTTGGCAAACTACAGTTGGTAAGTCAATTATTTTCTGACCATGTGTTTTATTTTGAATTTTACGGCGTGGGATCTGCTCTTGAGTTACGCTTAATTGATCACTGGTCGGCGATCGCGTCGATTCCAGCTAATTTAAACACCGATGTCACGAAGTTCACTTGCAGAAATCTGACTTATCTCATGCTTGTTTATTATTTCAGAATCTTTAAAAGACCATTTTGGTCGCTTTGGTGAAATTAAAGAAGCTATGGTCATGAAAGACCCAACGACTAAACGATCTCGGTATGTTTACATTCACGCTTGAATGAATAGCACGTAAATGGCCATCTAATCTGTAATAAAGGAAATGCATATTTATAGTTTAGACAATTAATAGTCTCGGAAGTTAGATTGTTAGTTGTCATGTTAATTAGAGGCGCTTTGATCTTTAAAATTATGACGGAGAAAGAACAAGTAGGGAAGACAAAATAATTACACAACCCTTCTTCTATATCACTTCAATGGCCTTATAATAAGAGACTTATAATTCAGTGTTTACATACTGTTTTAGTTAAGGTCCAGTGGTTTGACATTCCAGGTAGAAGAGAACAAAAAATGAATGAAATGATTATGACACACTTTAGTTGAGGGCAATTAGTAGGTGGACTAATGCTTTGGTCATTGTAATGTTTTTTAACTGCCCTGAGCCACATGGCAAAGTGGATACTGTTATTTTAATGTATTACAGGGAAAAAAGTTATCAACACACGATTGTCAATACCCGTTTATTTTACAGTGTAGCTGCAGATTAATATCAATGAAAACATAATTTTGCTATGCAAGGATTGTAGCTTTAGGAATGTTATACAAGTGTTAGGGTAGTGAGATGCTTTAGATAAGGTTTCCAATAAATGTCGTTGTTCATTGAAGTCTTTGTTTATTTCAGGGGATTTGGGTTTGTCACATATAAAGACGTGGCTAGTGTAGATACCTGCTTAGAGAACGGGCCTCATATTCTGGACAATAAAACGGTAAGGTCAGAGGGTTAACCCTCTAAACACAAGATAACGGAAAAATTTATAACATGTCATTAACACGCATATTGGTTGCAATTGGGGCTTCAAAGTTTAACACAAAACATATATGAAGTAAAGAAAATATAGTCCTTCAATTGTTCGTTATTAAGAATTTTTAAAATTTTCTCAACGGGCACAGAGATGGTCGTTAATTTTCTTTTTATCTTTAAAGCTTGTGCTACACATGGCATCCAAAGATATACATTTATCTCAATGCTTTTACTTGGCTCATAATGTTGTATTAGGTGAAATTCCTACAGCTTAATGGAACAGTTATCAGGAAGGGAAATTTATAAAATATCTAGTGACTTTTTGGATGTGTAGAAATGGGCCCTGATGTAATGTTTGTATTTGTGATCATGGGGAGTCCTATTGTGGCTCTAGTTGGGTCAGTCGGCCCCTAAGGAATAAATTCAATCCTCGAACAAAAGCTTCACACACTAACTCTAGAATAGGTGAGAAAATAAATGTGTTTGAGTATATAGGTTGGTGTGGGGTTTCTTTTGAACGTTTAATTAGCATTTTTTCCTGTGTATACCTGGAGGGTACACAATAGCATCATTAGTGGAAACTTAATGTCACCAAGACTGATATAGATTCTGAGGAAACTTTTTTGTTAGCCGGTTTCCATTCATTGTCTTTTATACAACAATAACACTTGATTAAGAGATTACAATTTACCTCTATAATTGATCATTTTATCATTTATAGTCTTTACTTACATCAAAATAGTATCTAAATAGACTAATTATAAGGTGATAGTCATTTTAGAAAGTATACATGTATATCTGACCAGGACAGATAAAAGCAGTTTGCCTCGGAAAATATGTTTCTCCTCATTTACTGCTGGGTGGGTTTGAAATTTTCTTTGAAACTGGTCTTAAGCATCCATAAATTTGTATAATTTGTGAAGATTTACAACAGCTGAGATACAGAATTATGGTAACACATCAGATGCATAGCGGGCAAATAAAACCAAGATAAACAAAATTCAGCACAGTTCCCCTTGTAGAAAGTACAAAAATAAAATCAGATTTTAGTGCAAAAAACCCTAACCAGAAATGTTTATAGCATCGATAGACTTTAGAGAGAGAACACAAGAATGATTCATCAGTGAGAGTTAGAAAAAAAAATTTCACAGATGTTTGCATAATTACACAACTCTTAAATTATTTCAATACTTGTGCTAATCAAAATTCTGAGATATTTGCCCATCTTAATACAAACAAGCTTTAAATTCATCCATCAAATAAAGTACTCAGAAAGCTTCTATCAGTATTAGTGCACATGTCGTCTGCTTAAACAGACCTTTGCTTAAACTTGTTCACCGTCCTTATTTGCTGATTTCTATTTCAATTTGATTTTTGCATTATATGGCTTCCATTTGATTTAATTCTCAAAAAAAATCTTTAGAAAGTTGATTTTCTATTGAGTTTGAAAGGATTGCATCAATAATTTTAATTAAAGTTTATTTAAATATCAACGCTATATTATGCATTTCTGGCACTCGCTGTCTATTGAAGAGTCACACGATCCACGTAAAAGTGATAAACCGTTCGTCATACATTTGGATAATTTGATCAATGATACGTGTATCCTTACTGATATTGTAGAGTAAATAAAATGTTTTTTTTGGGACAAGTCTTATCTATGTGGAAGTTTAAAACTTTCTCTTTGCTAGGATTTTAAATTTTATCATCAACAGCTGTATATAGCTAAGCAGTGTTTATTCATCAATGTTGATTCCTTTTTACAAAACTCTGACCACCGTTATTCATGCCTATAACATTACTGCTTAGCGACAGAGAATTCTCTTTGTAGCTAATTTTGCCCCTTATCAGTTTCTGCCATTTCCACAACTGCTGACACATTTAACATTTTGACAACATTCCAGCAAGTCTCATTTTATTTCAGTAGAAGTCTGTGTATCTGTCAATGAACAAAAATGTCCATTTTTCTTTTGCAAGTAGAACAAGCATCAAAATGCAGAAAAACTGAAAATTAAAATAAGTTCTTGTACACATAAAAAAAAAGTCTGGAAAAAAAGGAAAATTTCCCCATTTTTTACCACGACTTTATGACACACATATGTGTTATTCGGAGACTTGATTTATTTTTTTGCACAATAATGAGGCACTCTTCGGAGACGTGGTTTGGACTAGTCTTAGCCTACAGAGCCTTACTAAACACGAGTATTGATCAATAGAACAGTAATTGATTACGGAAAGCCAACCTGGAATAAAGCATTAATCGTAGGCAGGCTCGTTATTGTAACTGATTTAATATGGCACGATTTAATATCATTTATCAATTACATGGAATCAACTTGATGATGACCAGTTGGAGCTGTCATTTTCTTTTTAAGTCATGATTTATTCCTTGTAAGAAAATTTTGAAAATTACTGAAATTTTTAAAAAACATTTAAAATTTATTTTATGAAAAATGATACTGGTTGTTTAAGATTACAAGGGTAAATTATCTTTGGGTGCTGAAATAAATTATAATCCCTTAATTTTTAAATGTTACCACATTGCCGATACAAGTTAATTATATCCAAGATGCATGAAAACAAACTTTGAATAAAAGGAAGGATTAAAACTCCCAAAACAATTTTGTTAAAATAACAAGAATGTTACAGCTAAGTAGATCTAATTGAATTGTAGCAAAAGGGACATTTAAATTTTTTGGTGACATCAAAATTGAAGTGGCAAAAAAACCGATTTGGTTGAAGAAATTTGCAGTCCGTTAATTTTGCAAGCATTGAATGACTTACATTGTGATAAAAAGGGAGTCATCGTGTCTGTGTTAAAAGCAGTTCTGTCTAATGTAAGCAAATGTTTGTGCTTAGTTGTTTGAACTGTTCCAAAGTTTTACTTGAGAATTTTTTATCAATAAAGCCCGCTATACAAAGTACATATTTGTATTTGAGTCAAGTTGAACTGATATTTACTTTTCTTTCTACCATTAATAGTTCCATGTTCTGTGGAGACCCAGAATCTTAATAGCTAATTTCACACCTCTATTCAATTCTACCATTAGAAAAACCTAATGCTAACTGAGTATTCAAACAGTCCTTTCTATGTAAAGTTCCACCATTTTTGAAAAGCATTTTGAAATGCATTTAAAGATCCTGTGTCGTAGAACAGTAGCAGCATAGAGGCAGGAAGTAGAGGTAGCCGGGATAAAGGATCAATTTGACTGATATTTACCTATATTTTTGTATGCGATGGGAAGGCCGTGAGTTACATCACATCTGTTCTATTGTCGGGAGTTTAACGATTTCTAAGTATTCAATATTGTATCGGCTGTGTCCAAGCTCTTTGTTCAACACAAGTGCTTATGACGTATCGAGACAGGCTACAAAAAGAAGGTTCCGAGGTTCATTGGAAATCATTTCTGTTGGGAAACCTATGTAAGATGGAGAGTAATTAAAGACAACTCCTTTCGCGCTTGGCTAGATTTACATACATACAAGTTAGGCAAGTGCTGTCACTGGCTTTGGTTTGACACGGCCCAGGACACATATTAATAACTTGACCATCACTGTGCCCAGCTCTCCAGGATTAGCACTGTTCATTGTCTTGTCCTCCTTACAACTGTTGCCAGCTCGCCCAATTTCTGGCTTGGTGTTTTTATATTTCTGGGATCAATACTTGTATTTCCATAATGGACAATCTTTGGTATCTTTATCCACAGGTCGATCCAAAAGTTGCATTTCCAAGAAAAGCTCAACCTAAGGTAAGTTTACTTCAGTTTTTTTATCATAATGTTACTCAATTTTTTAAAAGTATTTTAAACTCTTTGTATGAAGACCAGTGTTCAGTTTGTAAGATTGTACTAAGACATCTGAATTTGGTAAATGATCGATTCTTTTACAGCTTATTTCACTTGATTTCTTAAGAAATAACAGTATATTTATGAAGTCACGCACTATGAATTTCTCTTCGGCCATATTTTTATATGTCCGGTTTTGTCACACGAATTCCCTGTCTGGCCTGCATTCAGTGAACCATGCCAAATTTACATCTCTAAGTTGATCCTCCTTCTATTAAAGTACCATCAAAAGGAATTGAGACACAATTTACTGCTAGATAAAACATTATACCCCAAAAAAATTATCTCAGGAAGATGCTAAAAGTCGGTAACACTTTCTTAGAATATGCCTTGTTATGGCCAAGAAATTGGGACAGATAGGGAGTCTAATCCTCATTGGTTATTTTATTTAAGGACCAGTTTTCGTCAATGGGATCTGCGGGAAAAAAATATTGATAGAGGAATTTTCAGATAACTTGTTTAATTTGACCAGTTCTTCACGCATTAGAAGTTGCTAATTGAAATACAATCTGAAGATTTCTGTGATAAATATTTAATTCTGTAATTTGCTTGCTGATCAATTTTTCTTGAGACTTCCTAGGGTCTGCCATTACAAGAGTTGCCTGACTCTTAGTTACTTAATTTGCCTCCCAAATCTTCCCCAAATTGATTTTTCCCAATTTCTTCATCTGTGTCGACTAATTGATCTGCAACACCGATAAAAGAATTGTTTGTCAGAAAAATCAAATATATAGGAATCTTCTTCGAGTTTTATTAGGTGATCATTATTTAAGGAATCGACCGAGGGAAAATAAAAATAAAAAAGACTCGGCAATATTTGAAGAATCTTTGGCCTCGGTAAGCGAGACTGAATATTACTTCTCTAACTGAAATTGTTATTCGACTAGAAGAAAGAAAAAAAAATTCTTGTGTAAAAATCAATGAATGTAGAAATTGACAGGCTATATCTGGATATGAAGAAAATTGGTTGGTAATCCAGTGTCTTGAATGGGCTTCTCCTGCTTAAGTCCAAATCATAACTGGTAGATATGTATGGGAAAAAAAGATAAAAAGACTGGATCCTATCAAGCAGATAGACAGTAACAGAAAAAAGGTAGAAAATAACCCCCTATTAAACTGAAAATAGTTCTAAGTGAATAAAAGAATATTCACATTCCAGTATATGGCTATAAGGGAACTCCCCTGGGCAGTTTTGTTACGTGCATCTAAGATTATTGTTGGATTACAATGGTGAACCCCACAGTGTATGATAATTCACTTCTGTGCACAGAGAAAGGAGAGAGAGGAGAGAGAAGTTCAAGAGTCCCTGATGTTATTCATTGGCCAATTACCAAGTGATGTGAAAGAGAGCTCATGGTGTGAATAGTGTCCACTGAAAAAATTGTCATCAACTCTGCCGTCTTTTAGGAAACAATAATATTTCTGAGAGATTAAGCTTGTTAAAACCCACCATCTGTTAAATTTTTATGTTTTTCAAATGTGCGTTCAAAATAGAATGATCTCATAAAGCCCTTTATAATATGAAAAATGTACTCCCTCACCCAGAAATCATGAAAAACAACTAAAGATGGAGAATCTTTAATCTTGTACACAGAAATTCAGTAAAGCTTGCAGATTTGCATATTAAAACCGCATTTGATTGATCAGCGGCATTTTATGAAAAATATCACTGTATTATTGCAGTGATGTAATAATCATACAGTACATAACATTTTATGAATGTGCATTTTTTGATCCATGGTAAACTGCTGAAAAAAATGGCTGAATATACTAATTATTATATCTTAATAAAAAAAAACCCATGAAAAAGTAGAAATGATCCAGAGTAAAAAAAAAGAAATGATTGGGAGAGGTCTATTGTTTCTATAGTGTTTTGGATTTTGTTCTGATATTGGGTTTGTTTTGTTTTGTATGGAGACCCTCTAGGGTCTACTGAGAGAGTCTGATGGTGAGGGCCTGGTTGTGTTATACAGTGTAGGAGGCTTCAGAAGAAAGGACAATGCCTCAAAGGTAAAATCTGTGTGGAACAGCTGCAGAATCATCACACACAGAGACAGAACGCAGCAGTGGCTTGTGATTGTGGCCATTTTATACCCATCTTCTGTGTTAAACAGTGCTGTCTTCTGCTGTCTGCAGGCTTAGGGTGTAACGTCTGTTGTACCAAACTGATCTTATGCAAACAGTAGAGGCTGAAGTTTTATCAGAGGTACACCAAAGCAAAAATACCAAGGTAAACATTCTACTGTAGAAAATTTAAGAATTCGTCAGGAAGTTTGGGAGGAGATCAGTTGACAACGTGACTAAGACTTGCTGTTATTTTTTGGTGGTGTAAACTCTTGTATCTCTAATCAAGTGTATGTATAATTTGACCCAACATTTAGAAAGTACAAGGTGCTTGCTTGTGATTTACAGCATGAGAAAATTGTCAAATGGATGAGAGTTGGAAAAATATATGGTGTCTTGAGAGGAGGGGAAGGTGTTAGAATGTGCCTTATATTTAGAGACTGGTAGAACCATGTGATCAGTGGTGATGTATGGTTACCATAGTAAAACCACAGAACCGGGCACCAGACTCTCCGAGGCCTTTGTCAGGTTTAAAGTCTGTCACTAACCATGTTTGATCTTGTAGGAGAGAGCGTCAACATTGGCTATTGCAAGGTTTTCATAAATTATTATGTGGCTAGCAAACAAACACTGGGGCATATTTACCCTCTGTCAAAGAGAAATTTTCTAAATCAATAACACCTTTACAACTGATCGACACTGTAAGTCTCCCGTATTTGCTCTGCTACAACCAATAACTTGGACCTTTAGTTTGCATTTGTTGTCAACCTCTTTCATCCTTTGTTTAGCAATTCCTCTTGCTAGAAATGTACAAATATCTGTCCATAAACTATTGTTTAATCGGTAAATATTTTTTACAAAGATAAACAGAATGTTTTTGTGGTTAATTTTGGAGGAGAATCTAGATAGGGCAGGTCTGAACATTTTGTTGGAAGGAGGAGGGAATTTGCCTAAGGGAGACTATTCTTGTAATATTCATATATTGCATATTCATAAAGGGGCCATGTTTTTCCCCATGCAGATGGAACTGCAGAATATTTCTGTTTGCTTAAATTGATTGAAATGTGTTTATTGACAAAGGTGGTAATTCATAATGAAACTATATTGATATTTGACTCTAAAATTAGCATTTATATTTGCGCTTTGGGTGAAATAGAGACTTGTTTGTACTGCAATGTTGTCATCTTAAAGACTTGCAAGGCCAAAGTTTTTGTCTGGCACTGTCAATTTACACAACCCAAAATCACTTTAAACATCTCATTACTAGTGAAAATAGCCTTTCAATGTCAGAGAAAAGTGAGAGATAATTTGCATACATATATTTGTTGAACTTAAACAATGCTGTGCTGCTAATTTGGCTGAATTATTTCGCAGTGGTAAAATTTCTGCCAATTACTACATTCTTGTAGGCCTAACAAAACTTTTGTGACATGTTTCTCTTCTCCCCTTTGTTCTCGTATTTGCACAAGAAGCTAGGTGGCCCCCTATTGGAGAACTGTATTAGTCCAAAGGAGTCTTGTGTGTAGATCGGTGGGTTTCTGTACTTCTAGAATGCAGCGGCTAACGGTCGGTCAGTTAACGGGAGCTGGACAGGTAAGCTTACCTCAGGGGGTGGTCAAAACAAATGAGTTCACACTTTACTGGTCCCCAGAGGCCATCAGTTTATCACTAAAAGAATTAATTGCTATACCATTATGTGTATTCCGTGTAGTTCCTTCTTTGTTTGACACTGTTATTGGCCTGTAAAAACCTAGAAAGGTTCTGTACATCTTGTTCAGCTTTCATTGCTTGTGTATGTTCCAAATATATCTTATTTCTTTACCCCCAAAATTTTTGGGGCATTTTTTTTTGTTTTTTGGGCAGAACTAATTGCATTAGTTAAGTGTAGAATAAGGCCATGAAGTGCACTGAAAAGGAGGAGTGCAATTAGAGTTTAAAAAGTTCCCTATGGATAAAAGCAAATGTCACAATTCTGCAAGTCTCTCTTAGTAATACCTTTGTGAAAAAGGTAGGTGTGAGTAATTGATTTATTTACTGAGACTGAAGTGCCAAAGAAGGAAGTACCAGTAGTGTAGTAAAGCTAAATTAATTACGAAGACAGTGAAGTGTAGAGGAATGCCTCCGTAGTCTGAAGTAATGTAGGAGGATACCAAAGCCTTGCTTCTGTGGTTGTGACCTGATCTTAGGACTACAAGCAGAAAATCTTCATCAAATATTACTGCATCTGTAGAGAAAAAATAAGATTGGGTAGATAAGGAAACGTTCAGTCTTGGATACTGTATCAGGAACTCTAGTACACCCAAGGGGGGAGTGCAGCAATGAACAGCATGCAATACCACAGTGCTGGAAAAAAAAACTATTTCTCTGAGTTTATGTATACCTTCCAAATGTTTCCCGAGCACTCTTTTTTCATTTAGTCTACAGAAAAAATGATGGCTTTCTGGCAGGAGAGCTTTGGCTTTTTAGTTCATAAGGTTATAAAAAGGTTATTCAAAACATTGAGGCAGTTGGATGCATTGTTTATAGGACAGTGCCAAGCTCTCAGTGATTAATATCAGGTAGATTAATATCAGAGATTAGTATTCAGATGGGGTAGACATTACATAGACAGATGCTAGACATCCACTTGTGTGGAGAAATTTCAAGGTTTATGGGATTAACCCGGGTTTAGGCTGAGTTGTAGTGTAGAAGTGACATGGGGCATGTTGAGTCTGCCTGAAGCCTGGCCGGGGTGTTTTACTCAGGTAGATAGTGGATTATGATGAATTATGTGGAGGCCAAAGAAGACATTGTCTGGTTATAATGCACCAAAAAATGGATAGAACGGGATTAGGCTGGGACAGGGGATGAACAAGAAGGGGGTCTGTGTGAGGGATTTCCCACATGTGTCATTCCTGGTCTATTTTTACTTGAAGAAATCTTCACTGAGCCCCCACGGGGTAAATGTGTATCTGTCAAAAGCTCATCGGGTTTTGTCCACCCCTTTCTGGCCCTCGGCCATGGGGTATCTGTCCAGATTACAATGAATATAACAAAAGGGAAAAACCCTTTGAGATTATCTGTTTAAATGACAAAATTTGGCTAAATGTCGGAAAGTCTTTATACAAAGACACAGTAACTTTGTAGTTCAAGCAGAAAATGCTAGAAAGGACCGGGGTCTAAGAGTTATAGTGTCACCGAATCAAAGGCAACACGTGACATTTTAAACAGGATAGACTTCTAAAAGTGGCTATAGAAAAGAGAGTCCTATATTAAAATTGCTGAACTAACAGTGTATGGGGTGTGAGCAGATAAATAGGATTATAATTTAAACATTAGTATATATTTATCTATAGAATTCCTAGGTAAATAAGATGACAGGGCTTTATACCCCAACAATCATTTTAACTCCACAGTTTGAATTGATGCATTTCTATGCAGAGCATATAAAATGTAATAGTTGAATCTTTGACATTTTAATCATTTAATATTTTTCACCAAAAGTAATTACATCCTATTTTTGAACCTGAATGCTTTTGGACCGAGATCTTTTATGCGAGTACATCCGTGTGAGGTGACGGTAGAATCTTAGGACTGGCCAAGGAGATCGATCAATTTGTCACAAATATTTGTGTCTGAAAAATAAAAGTCAAGGCGAAGATGATTTCATTGCCAAATTTTTGCTGCAGAGGATATACTCTCCCAGGAAAAACTAAATGTTTGAAAGCCTTTGACAAAACGCAATGAAATTTTATTTCTCATTTTAAATCTATTGACAATTGAGTGATTGTCAGCCTTGTAAAAGCTATTGAATTCCTACAGAGACTTCACAAGTTATTAAGAGTTAAGGACTGTAATAAAGAAAATTGATTGTTAACACAGATGGCTGCAAGTAAAACTACTGACTTGTGTCATTTTAAAATTTTTAAAGTTTTTTCAATTTCTTAAGCGTAAACCTTGTTTCACTTCCAATCTTAAACAGTGGGACCATTCTGATAATGTAAAACTGAGGTTACATACTTTGTTTGTTTCTATACCACATTTAACAGAATTAAAGCAGCTAATTCGTTTAAAAACAAAATGAATGATTGTATTAAAATCCAATAATAAATCTAAATCAGAAGCTGCCATTATTGACTAAGTTTAATACAATCTGATGTAATGCCAGTAAAAGTAGAAATAAAAAGCACATTGTGATCAATCTAATGATAAGTGAAGAGTTATAGATCTAAGGTGCATACATGGCCATAAATTTGATTCCCGAGACACGTAAAGAAGAAGAATGTAAAACTTCGTAATCAATATTACAAAAGCCTGCTTCTGTGCATAGGGGATGTATACATGTATTGTTGTTTAATTTGTTTGCCAATATTTGTGCATAAAATGACAAGAAACTTGAGTGAAAATGTGAAAACTTGATAATTTATTTATCTATTAGGCACTTTGTGTAGTATTTAACACATTGCTAATGACATAGATATACCGAGTATAATAAAAGAGGTTTAACATAAAGGATTATTGGCTGCTTCCAATAAATTGCTTCAAGAGAGAGAGAGAGAAAAAGAAAGAAAGAGAGAGAGAGAGGTGTCCATTAGGCAGTACTGTAAACCCTTGCTTCACTACGCAGACAATCCCCCTCCATGCAGACAATCCCCCTCCATCTTTCGCTGTCCATCTTTTGCGGAGTCCTAAGCAGTTAGTTCAAGTCTCCCCCGAGACACTTCCTCAAGAGAAGGTGCTAAACATCATCTGCAAAGAAAATGTTAATGACGCCATGTGACATGAAATGATCTTAATTTGTCTACTTCAATTTGCAGTGAGTTCTTGTTAAGACAGATAATCTATAAGCATTGTAATAGGAGGAAACAGAAAATCTAGCTGTCCCCCAGGTCCAGCCATAATATCAGTGTTCAGCCCAGTGAAACCAATTTAGATGAAGATATAGGTCAGAGGGGGGACTTGACTCATTTTTACCCTGCATACTTCAGATATGACTTCATCTGGATTTTCTTAGTGACACAAGTTTTGGATACAATTTGGCAAAAATGGTTGAAGATTTGTCATAGGCCTATGTATTTTTTGCATTGAAAAAATCCACACATAGTCATGTTAATTTTGTCTATGCTGTAAATGGAACAAGAGATTAAAAGGCAAAATCCCAACTTGATCCCATTCGACAACACTTGCTAAGAATAAAATTCTGTCAATGAAATTACACGCGGATAACTTTGGTGTTGATGTAGGCACATGAGATAGTGGAGGAGATGAATTGAAATTAGATTGTCTAAGCTAATGATCATTCAAATGTCTGCGAAAAGTCCTATTGATTTTCCTACTAATTGAAAAAAAGTGTACCGGTAGAATTGTTGGTGAAATGTAACGTGAGTTGATTTTGTCTTGTAGATGGTCACCAGGACAAAGAAGATATTCGTGGGAGGACTGTCAGCTGCCACGACAGTGGAAGACGTCAAAAATTACTTCTCCCAATACGGAAAGGTAAATCATATATATATACTACATACCAAAAGATAGGTAAAAAAAATTGTTTGATGGTCAAGTAGGGGACACTGCAAATATACCTTGGAGTACACTGTATAAAGTCAGAAAAGTGATATATTTAACAGATCTACAAAATGTGGGCTAAGATGTGGAAATAACATGGAATTTTTAATGGAAAACAAATTATATTGACCATATCATCATAATCATTGGAAAATCGGTTAAGGAGCAGGGTTCAAGCACCTGTTTTCTTCAATATCTTGATCCTGAAATTTTGTTCTTATTGTGAAAAGTTGTATTTAAAAAAGAAAAGAAATGAACCTGTACTTGTACTTCGTCAAGTCATGTGACTAGCGTCTCGTTTACCCTGTCAAGATTTACATGAAAAAAGATTGAAAGGCAGACAAAAAATGAGAAAAAGCAATAAAGTGTCCCAGCAGGTTTTTAATTTGGTTCAGATTTACATGAAAAATAAAATGAAAACCATGTCATAATTCTGTAAGCATGACCTCCGAATATCATCGATAAAAATATGACCACAGGGGGAAAAATTGGCTAGTTAGTTACTATACATGTAGAGAATGATAAAATCAGAATCATATAATCAAGTTTTTACCCCTGGGCCTGTTTTCAAGATAAGAATGTATACATGTGAAGTAAGGTATTATAGAGAGAAGAAAATATGACTCATCCTGCTATTCCAACTGCTAATAACAGGCTGGGCCTTCAATGACGGGGTTAGCATACGAATGGTGTGGGAATTATATCCTTATGTAGATGACATAGGCACCTATTTACCGACTGGCTGTTTAGTATATATTGAGAATTAAATCGTTTGCTCTGATGACGTCAGCCATTTTCCACGTTATCATTCTGGACCCAGTACTGTAGTTTTTTGGGGGGCGTCATAAAAAACCTTTAATCTAAACAAAAGCTAAATTGGTCTGAAGAAAGTGTGTAGATAAGAGAGAATTTCTAAGGATTGTTGTGACATTTGGACTTCATTCATCAGCCTTTTGTGCTCCAGCTTTCATTTGCTCAATAAGTGTAGGTACAAACTTGTCAGAGCTTGATTTATATATAGATCACCCACAATAGAAATAGGAAAAAAGCCATCTCAACATTGTGATTAAAAATAATCTTATTGTTGCCAGGCATGCAAAACTTAAAACAGTAAAGTGTCCATTGGAGGGGTCTAAAACACTGAGATGACCTTGGACCATTCATGTCCTGGGTGAGGATTTTAAGTAAAGGGAGGGGGGATTCCCTGTTATGGGTCCCCATTTGTTAAGCCTTACTTACATGTGTATACATTAACACTTGTGAACCAAGGTCAGCTCCAAGATAAAAGTCACCTGATATGGCATGTACAACATTCACTCAAGTGATGACCAACCTGATATGCAGGTGTGCAATATCAAAGAAGATAATTATCACCCATGTCAATTAACATAACATCGCTCAATTACAGGAGAAAAAACAATAAAGTGCAACTGTAACATGTCCCTAATGGATGGGGGTCAATTCAAGGTTCATTGGTCATTGGTCATAATTTTGATGTATCGAGGGTCTGATTTATCTCGTCAAATGGTCAGTGATGTGTGACATATGGTATGCGAGATTAGGTGCATTGCTTTAAGTGTCTGACACACTGTGGGACCTATCAGTCTGTACATAGCTGTGTATATCTTGTAGATATATATCTTCTCTAAGCAGGCCAGGACAGATTGGTCACTAAATGATAAACATCACCTGGTCTGTGTTTTGATGAGAAATATTGGTTTATTATTGTCTTGTACCTCTGGGATAAATATACCAACATAAACACAGCGCTGTAATTCTTATAGTATCTTCTTAGGTCACCTGTGACTAATGAATAAAAAACCATTTTATAATCAGCGGTTTACCCTTTAACAAGATTAGCTTTTATTATTTCAACCTTAAATAAAGCCAACAAGTTGTCATCAGATTAGAAAAGTCAGAATTAAAGAAGGATTATCTATGGTGTTGGTTTTTAATTTTTGTTGGCATTGACCATAATAAATCTGTTCAAAATGTTCCAAACCAAAAGTTATCACTCGTGAATGAAAAAAAAGGGAACTGCTGACATATCAAGATCAGTTCCGTGTGATTGAATAGTCAATTACATTTATGGGGAATAAATTCAAGAAATTAAATAATCATGTATAGAAACTTCTTTTTATAAAGCATTATATGGGCACTGTCAATTACTTTGGCCTGCATCAATTAACAGACAAGTATTCAGCCTTGTTCGACTGAGGAATTTTAAATGTTAGCAAACAGGATTAGGAAATGTTTAATTTGGGTTATAAAACAGGATAACTGCTCTGTATGAAAAGTTTGTAAATCATCCTCATAAAGCAAAAGGGCTGGGTTGATTTACATGTAAAGTGTACTTTTTTAAAAGTCTGATTCACTATTTTAGTATTCGCGGAGATTATTAATGGGTTGGGGGTGTTATATAATTTGATTTTTTAAAAGATGTAATATCCTGAATATCAAGCCATCGAGTACAACTTTCTTTGTTAAATTTTGGAAGTCCCTTGAAATTATTTCCATATTTTTAAGAAAAATTAATCGCACCATCCAAGTCACTTTCTTTCTTCTGAATGTCCATATATAACGGTATATGTGCTGTACTGTCAATTCCTAATAGTGTACACACTGCTTGGAAAACTCGCTACAGCCTAGACCAAAGTACATTTCAACAGGCACAAATATTGTGAATTAAGTTGCACCGAATAAGTCAGAACTTTAAAAACTAAAGATTAATTGGTGGTCTTTAGCGATTCCGTCACATCTTGAAATCTGATTGTTGATTCTTTTAAAAAATTGGAGCTTCCTGTACCAAAACACTGTAGCTGATTGAAGTATAGGACTTCACTAGATAACGTCTGTAATGTTCTACAGGGCTTTGTGGTTAGAATGTAAGCAGAGTGTAGCATGAAATCAACAATGTGCTTTTGAACTGATAATATCTTAATTGCCCGTTCAGTTGATAGAATCTGCAATCAGCTCGGAATGAATATTCTTATCATCCCTTTGTTGCACGAAAAAAGCATGCAAAATTCATGCAGTTGTTTAAAAAAAATTTACTCTAGATCCAGTTATTTATTGAATAAAAGTGAAGAAAAATTGTGAATTTGACACCTATTGATTAGAGTGGTAGGAGCAGTGATAAGCCAGTGTGTTTGCTGTAGCCGAAATAATCACTAGCTAGGGAGGAAACCGAGGACGACCTTTTGAACTTGAAACAGAGTATCTACAGTTTAACCAAGAAACTCTGCATTGAAAAGAAAATGAAAGGCAGGTTTTCAGATCTGAAGCAATATGGTTCAAGGTCACACTTTGTATATCTATTCACAATTTGATTTTTAAAAGGATTTCACTCCAGCCGCCCAGCATGAAATGTATTCTGATTAAGAAAGAAAAATGAGGAAAGCAAACAGTTTTTAGAAGTTTTTGAAACTGCAGCTTTGAAAATGTTTCTGCATTTGGGCTCAAGTTGCATCATGGTTCTGATAGGTGTCTATACACGTTTTTCATTATATCAGGTAGCATGTATATGGGATACCTTTCCTTTTTGTGTAGAATTCCTCCATCACCATGTAAAAAGCATTTCATTTCAAGCATCAGTGGCAAACCTACACCGCAAATTAAACATTCCCTTTGATACTAGCATTAAAACTTAATGTCCATAATATATTATATTCCTATTACACACCAAAATCAATAGGCAATATTGCATAAAGCATTTGAAAATTAAGAATAGCAATTGTTAGAAATAAACAGTGGACTGCTAAACAAAATCACCAACCATGGCTTGTTCTAAACCTAGTGCTTGGAATAGAGGGTGGAGCCCAGAATTTATTCCTAATCAATTGTCAGTATTGAATTCGAGTGTGAGTTAATCGAAAGGTAAATGTTAGAAGTACGTGTGCATAAATAATATGCAAAGAAACCAATTAGTGGAAGAATACACAGATACATTTATTATGTACACTGCGTGCCAGAATGCCGTTTATAATGTCCACGACACACAATATTGTAATAACTCCGTAGATATTAATTGGACATCAACTGTGTCATTAAGTTCGTAATTCTGTTTTTGACCCGTTTTTGGTTTAACGGATTTGAACAATGCTGATTTCCTGATACTATGCCTTGAAAACCTTCATACATAATTAAATGGCATTTCGTGGCCTTGGAGTGGCACACACAACCCTGTGATATTTTTAACCTGCTGGCTTTTATCCCGCCATGTCTTAAGTTTACTCATGTGTGACCATGTTTTAACAATTGAGGTACTAAAGCGACAAGATTGATAAACATTTTAGCTCTTTCGTTTGTTGTTTTAGCTGTTTATAATAAGCCTAATAGGTAACCATTGTTCTGATGTAGTGCCCAAAGCACTGTGACAAAATCTCAGATTTCGTAATACTTCTTAAACTGTAATTTAATTTTTACTATCTCTTTGCTCTAATCATTGCGAGTTACATTATTGCTTCCAATATGAGCCATCGTGCACACAATTTTTTTTTTTGGGGGGGGGGGGGTACGGGGACTAAGTGTTCTTTGATAAGAATGATATTTATGGAGATATTTTGGTTCCATCTTTAAATACGAGGGTATGGATATTTAATGTAGTATTCACCTTTTTTTTTTTAGATAGATGATGTTAGTTGTAAACAAGTTTGTGCTTAAAGTGGTTAGGTGTTCATTAAGATGAAAATTATAACACACTATAGAGGTTATAAATAGGTACTTTATTTGAAGGTGTTGGAAATAAGATAATATCTATGATAGGAGGTCAATTCCTGATGGGTTTAGTTCTGTTTATAAAGCAATTTAAAAAATAATACAATTTGCATCTGGAACTTTAGTCTTACTTTTTAAAGCAGCTACATTTTTGTACAACTTCACCCCACATTAGCATTGTTTGTCACTACAAAAGGAACTGTCTCTTGTTAGACCTT